CCTTGATGAGGAGCTGGTCCTGGCCGGGTGGGCCGGGGGTGCGGGCGGAGGTGCTGAGCTGGAGGTTTTTCTCGAGGCCTCCGGTGGTGCTGGTGTAGAGCCAGGCTTTCATTGTTGGGGGAAGGTTATCCATTCTGCTGTTGTTTAGGTGAGAAGATGAGTTGAGATGAGATGAATGCAGTGTGATTATGTCTGCTTAAATAGTGGCGGTTATGCACTACGCAATACGTCGATTTGCTCGGATGGACCAAAACTTTATTAATTGTCTGAGATGCCAGTAACCTAACTAGGTAGCTCCTTTGTGCCCTTCTCTAGAGGTTATATTAGAGTAACCATGGAGTAGGAGTTGGCATGAGTCTCAGGTAGTAACTAGGAAACTCGAAATTTAGGCTTATCCTAGGGACAGCAGCAATGACTTTTCTTGTATAACAGGTGCAACCAAGCATCTTTTGCCTGAGATTAAAGAGGTATTGTCTGCAAAGAGTTCTACAGTCCTTTGTACAAATGCATGTCCGTCCGATCATAGGGACCTTTGAACTTATAGTTGCTAAAGTAGTAGGGAGATTGGCATTTCCAATCATTGATTCCATTGTCTCAGCTTCTCGACGGGATGGCAGTCTCGGCTCTGGCCGACTGTTTCATTGCCGAAGTCCTGAGGATTGATCTTGGCAAATGGCCAAGACTGCCTGTTTTAATAGAGTATCATGTATCTGAAACATAGCCTACTCTTCAGGGACCATCGACCCTGAGATTCCTATCATGATTCGGATATTGCGATTGGTCCCACTTGACATCAACTTTACCTCGTAGGTAAGCACGGTCTATTTCGAGCAATCGAGCTTGATCTGAGCCATGTTTGATGTCTGCTGAGTGCTGAGGATGTATACAGGCTGCTGCTTGGTTTGCCACAGATCGTATCTATTTCCTACTCTCGTCAAATCTAGACCCAGGCCTAGATGTGTCTTGCGCGCTCAAGGCCTCGACCAAACCGTTTAGACTACAAGAGGATATGTGAAACGCCTTTGACCTAATCCGCCTACTCCATACTAGAAAGCCATGGCAGAGTGAAACATTCGGTTTCGTGTTTATTCGCGCCAAGCTCGCTGATAGCGCTGAGACTGAGACTGAGACGTATATAAGCTGAGTCGACAGTGCCGTTGCTGTTCTCTGGCAGGTCAAACTTCGTTCATTCTTACAGTCCTTCATTCGTTCTGTTGATCTTCTGTCCTTTCTTCAATTCTTATTTCTTCCTTTCTCTCGCGACTAGGTCGTTTGCTACATTTAAAATGAAGCTCACTTCGTCCATTCTCTTCTCGCTTGCGAGCGTCACCCCGCTGGTTTCGGGGCACTATGTTTTCTCCAAGCTCATCGTCGATGGGAAAACCACCCAGGACTTTGAGTACATTCGCAAGAACAGCAACGGCTACATGCCCACCCTCGCCTCCGACATCCTGAGCAATGACTTCCGCTGCAACCAAGGCTCGATGGAGTCCGCCGCCAGCACCAAGGTGTATACGGTGGCCCCCGGCGCAGAGATCGGCTTCCAGCTCGCCTACGGCGCCTCGATGAAGCACCCGGGACCGCTGCAGATCTACATGTCCAAGGCCCCCGGCGATGTCAAATCGTACGACGGCTCCGGCGATTGGTTCAAGGTGTATCAGGAGGGCCTCTGCGCCGACACCTCCAAGGGGATCGTGGACGAGGACTGGTGCACCTGGGGCAAGGATACCGCGTCCTTCAAGATCCCCGAGGACACGCCGGCCGGGCAGTATCTGGTCCGGGTGGAGCATATCGGCCTGCACCGAGGGTTCAGCGGCAATGCCGAGTTCTACTTCACCTGCGCCCAGATCGAGGTGACGGGTTCCGGCTCCGGATCGCCCAGCCCCGTCGTCAAGATTCCCGGCGTGTACCAGCCCGACGATGCCAACATCCACTTCAACATCTACTATCCCACTCCGACGGCCTACGACCTCCCGGGCCCGTCCGTCTGGACTGGCGGTTCAGCGGGAAGCACCGGCGCCTCTTCCGCTGGCTCCTCTTCGGCCGCCACTGTCACCACGCCGGCTGTCAATAACAATGCTGTTTCGGCGTCTGCCCCTGTCTCGGCCACTCCCACGACCATGACCACTCTCACCAGATCTTCCGCCACACCCACTGCTAATGCTGGTTGCGGTAGCTCGGGTGCCTCGTCCGCCGGAGCCCTCAAGAAATACGCCCAGTGCGGTGGTCTGAACTGGACTGGTTCTGGCTCTTGTGAGACTGGCACTACCTGCCACCAGTACAACCCTTACTATCACCAGTGTGTTTAGACATGCGAGTCGTTGCTGGGTAGCACCCTGTGGTTCAATCTCTATGCTGCTCTCTCTACTTCTTTTTTGACAAGGTTGATTCCATTCTTTTCTCTTTCTGCCCTTTCAATCCTACTGTCTACATTGTGCTTGACCCGGTGTTAGGAAGCTCCGGAACTAGATAGTACGTCAGAGTTGGCAAGAAGTTGATGTTTGTAATTCAAGACTTCTCTTCCGTCTAGCTAGTGAAAGATTTGTCCAGAGATCTGTATCAACCCGGGTAATCTAGAGTAGGACAAAGCTCGAGGCTGTCCCAATCGATTTGATGTTTCACTGCGGTGGTTTAAGGATAAGAAAAACTCAATTTCTGATGGACCTCGGAGCGGGGCCGAGCCAGTATCTATAGCCTTTTAATTCATATTATTAAGTGTCAACCGGCCTATCAATTGCAAGAAAAGATATTACGATGGCGCTAGACCAAGCCATCTCGTATACTCGTATACTCGTTTATCCGTATAGTCCTGGTTCTTCGTACATTCGTATCCAGATAGGCCTATTGAACTGGTGGCAGTGCAGCAGAGACGTTCAGATGGAATGGATTTAGAGATAAAACTCCTCCCATCATAGTGGACAGCGCATTCTCCCTCAGAAAGTTCAATCTCTTGTGCCCCGAGACAATTGTATCGACTGTATCCGAATCCTCCCGCGAGAAGCACCATGGCAGACAACGACGGCTATGTCTACAAACTATACCGCTATGTTCCTTCAATCCCGGCTGCTGCGATCATGGCAGCGGTCTTTGGCCTACTGGCGATGGCGTATCTCTATCGCATTATCAGACACAAGGCATACTTCTTTGTCCCTTTCCTCATCGGTCTTCTCTGTATGTTCTGACGATTCTTCAAACAATTCCCACAATGCTGACAAGATTCATAGTTGAAGCAGCAGGTTACATTGCTCGGATCTTCTCCCACTTTGATACCACCGCCCTGGGCCCATATATCGTCCAGACCATGTTGATCCTCGTCGCTCCCCCATTGTTCGCCGCCTCCATCTACATGACGCTCGGACGACTTATCATGGAGCTGGACGCGGAGCCTGCCTCACTGATTCGGGTGCGGTGGCTGACCAAGATATTTGTCGTTGGAGACGTCATTTCCTTTCTGCTGCAGTGCGGAGGTAAGCAGCCCTTCATCCTGTCGGTCATGACACCCGCTAACTACTCCCAGGGGGAGGATATATGGCGGCGGGCACACTGGACGCCATGGAGACGGGCGAGCACATCGTCATCGCCGGTCTAGCGATCCAATTACTCTGGTTCGGCTTCTTCATCGTCGTCGCCTCGCTGTTCCACTGGCGCGTCGTCCGCGGGCCCAAGTACACCGTCTCCAAGGACCTCAAGTCCCAGTCCTCGGGGATCTCCTGGCACACGCTCATGGGGGCCCTCTACGCCGCCTGCGTGCTGATCCTGATCCGATCCGTCTTCCGCGTGGTCGAGTTCGTCCAGGGCAACGCGGGCTTCATCATGAGCCACGAGTACCTCCTCTACGTCTTCGACGCGTTTTTGATGGCGCTGACGGGGATCGCGCTGGGGCTCGTCTTCCCGGGCTCGTTTATCTCGCGACGGTCGCGATGGGGGCGACGGAATATACCCGAGGATGCTCTTGCTCTTGATAGTCAGCTGTCCTAGTGAGTACCTGCTCACCCACTTGAGTCTAGCATGTCGTGGTGTGTTCTGGTCTTGGCTTTATGTTCTTCTCGATGGCTTGGAGTTGCGTGCTGGTTCGTCGTATAGACTAGATTTACATTTCATTTTCAATCTCAAGAATTAACCGAAATCACATGCTCCAAGGGCAATCAAGCAATAGAAGATATTAGCGGCTCCAGTCTTACTCCATGGACTCTCTACGGAGTATTACCGTGTGCCCCTGTGTCCTCAGGGCCGATAGGTCATACTCCTGATAGGATCCACTGAGACCATCTAAGACCCTGTCCCGCTTTTAGCTTCATCCTGCCAATTGTAGCAAAGTGAAACAACTAGTCTTAGCCATGGTCTCTAACTGTCTAGAAGCGGACATGGTGAGCCGTGGCCTGACCCTCGAGAAATCCCGTTACCATAGGAAAGCAAGGCAGCTCCTTTGACCTCATGTAGATGAAACCCCCTTTGTACTATCCAAGATTAAGGGATTCTCTCTTTAGGGACGCATTAACCGTACCACAATGATCGATCTCCTGGCGAGTGCAGTCCGAAAGCGACGACTATTTAACCCATGAACCCGCTGCGAAATGTTGACCTGACTATCAACCTCAAAGACTGCCTCTCATCGCTCCCCAAAATGGTTACTTTCAGCCGCCTCCTGTTCTTCCTCCCTGCTCTCGGGGCCCTCGCCGTGCCCTCGGATCCCACCACCCAGCCCGACGTCGCGGCCAGCAAGTCCTTCGACTTCCTCCAGCGCATGGGCGAGATCATCTTCAACGCCACGGCCAACGCAGACCTCCAGCGTCGCGACACCACGTTCAGCACCAGCAAGGACGGCGTGAACGCCGCGGGCTACTACTACTCCCTGTACAACGACAACCACGCCGGCGCCGGCTACACCGAGGACCCCAACAGCGGCCACTTCAAGCTCGGCTGGAGTCTGCCGTCCCGCAGCGAGTTCCTCGGCGGAAAGGGCTTCCGCGGTGGCAGCACCCGGTGAGTAAAACGTTACAGCCCCCCGTTCAACCCTCCCTTGACAGCTAACACTCCGCAGCTCCCTCACCTGGGACGGCTACTTCTCCGCCGAGGGCGACTACACCCTCGCAGTCTACGGCTGGACCACCAACCCGGTCACCGAGTGGTACATCGTCGAGTCGCACGGCACCGGCACCCCCGGCAACGGCCATATCCTGGGCCAGGTGCACGCCAACGACGGCGTGTATGATGTGTACATGCTCCCCTACCGCAACGTGCCGGAGATCTACGGCACCACGAACTTCAACCAGCTGTGGTCCGTCCGTCGGTCGCACCGCACCACCGGCACGGTCGATGTCACGGCGCATTTCAACCGCTGGAAGCAGCTGGGGCTGCAGCCGGGGAGTCCTGTGTTCCAGATGGTGACGGCGGAGGGGTTCCAGGGGAGTGGGTTTTTGGATTTTACTCTTCATTGATCTCTTCTTATATCTTGTTGGTTCTTGGTTGAGTGGCTCGTTGTAATAAGTGGTGTGCTGATATAGTTGTAGGTATATATGTATCTATATAAGGCTCATCTGGTAGATAGAACAAATGTGTACCATTAATATCACAGAACCTCAAAAAATCTAGTAGAGGTCTAGAGGACCACTTTCTTATCAGCTATAATGTATTTTAATTATATGTGGTGGTGTGAAGAATTCCAGAGCACTGTATATGATGTCTTAGTCTTGGCGCAGGAGAGCAAACGGAGCAAACCTACTTCTTTGATCCAAAAGTGATATTCCGACTTCATGCAGTCTTCATGACTACTGTACATCAACAGAATCAACTGGCAATAATCAATGGCAACAGACGACCTGTCCGACAGAAGCGCACGCAAAAGAATACGCGCCAGGCACACCAAGTCGCGAAAAGGCTGCTCTACCTGCAAGGGGCGCAGAGTCAAGGTACGTGTCCGGTGTCCCACTGCTCTTCAGAACGACACTCACGCATCCAGTGCGATGAAATCAAACCCACATGCGGTGCCTGTGCCTTGAGAGGGGAACTCTGCGACTGGCCCGCCGAAACAGGCTCTCAACGACACGATACACCTGATCAATTACAAGCTGACGGCAGCCGAACGAGCCGCGCAATCTCCAAATCAGCTCAGGATCGATCCCAGCGCAGCTCGGCAGCAGCAGCAGCACGTTTAGACTCGGGGTCGCCACGCCCCTTGCACTTCGATCTCCGCCATGCAGCTGGCGGCAGTCCAACCCACCCCCTGAATATGGTTGATCTGCAGCTGCACTCGCATTTCATGCTGCACACGTGCAAGCACATGTCGCTGAACCCGCGCCGGCAGCGGATCTGGGAAACGGTCCTCCCCCAGTTCGCCATGCGGAACGAGGCCCTCATGCACCTGCTCCTGGCCCTGGCGGGGCTGGATTTCTACGCCTCGGACAGGACGGCGCCTCCAGACAGGACGAGCGACCACGACCTGGACGCCGCCTACCTCGAGATCATCATCGAGCACCACCAATGCGGGCTGAAAGCCTTCCGCGAGGACCTCGGCAACCTGCCCCGCGCGAACCGGCACCACGTGTTCGCCGGCTCGATGCTCCTCGTCGCGTTCGCGCTCGCCTCCCTCCGCATCCGCAACCTGACCGACACCCCGCAGCTGGCCCAGCCCCGCCTCGACTGGATCTACCTCATCCAAGGCCTGTGCTCGGTCGTCAAGCAGAACTGGCCGGAGCTGCGCACCGGCCCGCTCAGAGACATGACGCAGTTCGACTACGCGAATGACGACTGGCGCATGTACCCGCGCGAAGCATTGCGCTGCGTCGACGTCGCACGGATCCGACTGTGTTCGCCGCGTCTGGTGGCGTTCTGCCACGGTACGTACGACGCCCTGGCGCAGCTGGTAGCCTATCATGAGTCCCTGGGCTCCCGCTCCCATCCGGAGGCGCCGCGGAGCCCGATCCTCGCGGAGCAGAAGGCCGCGCTGGAGATCCTGGAGCAGATGTACATGCGGACGCTGTACGTCGTGCGCTTCTCGGACGAGGGGCGGCAGACCCCGCTCGACGTGCAGGCCGATCTGGAGGACGCGGCGCTCATGTCGTGGCCGGAGTTTCTGCCAGCGGGGTTCCTGGCGACCCTGGACGGCGGCGGGGGGTGCTCGGCGCTGTCGTATGTGATCCTGGCGTACTTCCATCTGCTCTTCTCGCTTCTCGAGGGCTTCTGGTTTATCAAGGGGGGGTTTGATGGGGAGATTGTGAAGATCCAGTCGCTGGTGGATTCTTCGGCGGAGACGGGGTTGGTCGCGTTGATGCAGTGGCCTGTGTCTGTTATTGCGGTGCAATCTGACTCATAATCGCGGAGCGAAGCGTAGCATGTCTTATAAGATCTATGTATAATATTAATTCAAGTCAATTTACACTCTACCACTATCTAGGCATAGACGGCAATCACATATAATACAAGTAGTAGACTACCTCATCTGGCGGAGTGTAAAGGCCTCTCCGCCACGCACCGCAAACCCAACCCCCCCCTCGACCTAGATTCCCAATAATCCATCACCCTCTTTAGAAGGTATAATCATAGGCTGGGGTGAGCAACATATGATTATAGGTCTCCTAAAGACGCATCGAGATGCAGCGATGGAAATTGGAGAACTATGGGGAG